CGTAGTTGGTCATGATTACCAATTATTCAATCAATTAATGATAATAATTACAAAACGAAAGAATAAAATTTATGTCATTTTACAACATATACCTAAGTGAAAATTTATCTTGACACCTAATTACAGATTACCTACTGTTATTATGTAATTAGGACCACCTAATCAAACTGGGCTTTGTTTTCGATGAATTTGTTGAGAGATTCCTAGAACAGACAAGTGCACATGAACCTACCCCAAACCGGGAAATATCTTTAGAACATTTTCAACTTTATAACGAGGCGTTAAATTTGAAAATTAGGTAACATCCCTCTGAATTTCAAGTTAAGTCTAAAACAATAACATTGTTTAAGCTTTAAGCAGACGCTATTTTGTTTGAACGGAAGCTTACTTTTTAACAAAGGGCTCGTAAAATGTGAAATGAAGTAGCGAACGTGGAAGACATCTTTTTGTTAAGCACAATGTAGTTACTTAATCTTGGTACACTGAATAAAAATGAGTGTTCAACGATTTTCAAATTAATAAAGAAATATTATTATTTTCGTACTAGCTTCCGTAAGCGGCTTCATACGCGTTAGTCAGATGAATTGTTTTATTGCAAACCCCTCTTTTATTCCAGACTATAATCTATCTATCTGTATACATATGTATATGGCAAGTACCAATATGACTTTTCCCGACTCACGTGTACTTTCTATGATTATTTAAACAACATCGAAATACGGCGAAGGAAAACATCGTGAGGAATAAATTTGAAATCGCCAACCCGCATTGAGCAAGCGTGGTCATCGTGGTCATTAATGCTCGCCTCAAACCTTCTCCGTGTGAGAAGAGGCCTTTGCTCAAGAGTGGGCCCTTATAGCATGACAATACCCGATGCTGACAATACCCAAGCTTATTAATATCCAAGATTCTTATTTCTTAAAGTAAATTCTTAAAGTTAATCTATAAGATTGTAAAGTAAATCTAATTGTGAACCTTATTAACTTGTAAATTTTAAGTCATTTAAAAGAAAATCTACTTTAATTCAGAACGAAATTCTTATGCGACGAGTCCACGACGTTTTGGCCGCAAGGCACATTGTTCCCGGAACATAAATATTCTACATGTTAATCTAGGTCAGGGTTCCTGTGTACTATATTTTTACTGGAAACTTCTACGGATTTTCCTTGAAGATGTTGTTAATATGAACCTTTTTCTTATAATTTTTAAATATATATTATTATTTATTAGCCACTCGCCCCGGTTTTGCACAGGTGCAACGTTTATATTAAATTCATCCGCTATTTAATAAATATTATCCAAACTAATATCATAAATGCGAAAGTAACTCTGTCTTTTCTTCACAACTAAACTACTGAACTTATTTGTGTGAAATTTGGCGCAGACATAGTTTGGAACTCGATGAAGGACAGAATAGTTTTTAAACCAAAAGTCTGCAGAAAAGTCGCTATTCCACGCAAACAAAGTCGTGGTTTATAATAGTAATTTAAGCTAGTTATACATATTAACCTTTCTCTTTAATCACTATATCTATTACTAGCTACTCTCGCGCGGTTTCACCCGCTGCTCAGATCCTACAGATCGTAGCGTGATGTTTAATAGCCTATAGCACTCAGGAATATTGTAGCTATCTATCAGTAAAAGAATTTTGGAAATCCGACCAGCTGTTCCACAGATTACCCCCTACATACAAACTTACAAATTTTACCTCTTTATAATATTTGTAAAATAAAAAGTAAAAACCTGCATCAAATTCCGTTGCATAAAGGTTTAGCATACATAAGGATGTAGGGACAGAGAAAGCGATTTTGGTTTTGTACTATGTAGTGATTAGTTAATAAATAATTTATTAATAAATCAATTTAAACAGTATTCTTTAATACAGCAGTTCAGCACTAAATTCATAATCTAACCTAACCTAACCAGAATAAAAATGAGTTGGGGTTATAGATCCCATGCGGTATCAGCATCAGCTCAATAAACGGACGCGAGCTACTCAATCATGCGGAGTGCAGCTTTGCCACTGAAGTGCATAAACTTACCCGCACCTGATAGCCTATCTATCAACACACGGCAGCTATGAACGCCGCTGGAATTCATCGATGCATTTTACGAAACGAATCCTTAGGAACTATTTAAGCGAAATTTATAAAGCGCTTTTCGCTTAATTTGGCAATATTAAAACTAGTAACCAGTTTTGTACAATATATTTTCTATCTATAGTAATAAAAATAATAGTGATTGATTTTTTTTATGGTATAGGCCGGCTAACGAGCCGGCAGTTTACCTGATGGTAAGCAATCAGTACCTCCCGTGGAAACTCCCTCCAAAGGAGTTACGGGTGCGTTTAGGGATAAGGGTTTCTGATATTTAAGGATTAGGAAGGGATGGGAGGAAGGGATTGGGCCTCGTCGTGAAATCGTCAACCCTCTTTGAGCGAACGCAGTGATTAATACTCAAACCTTCTACGTTTGAGAAGAGGCCTTTGCTCAGTAGTGGTACGATAAGATAAAGATTATGAGAATCTTTATATATAAAAATGGATTGCAAAATGTGTTGGTAAGCGCATAACTCAACAACGCCTGGACCAATTTTAATAATTCTTTTTTTGTTGTGTTTGATATTGTCAGGAGAAGGTTCTTATCAAAGAAAATATTAGAAAACTAGAGAGGAAGATTAGGAAAAAGTAACCCTTTTATAGCGAGATAGTTGGACCCGTGTGAAGCGGGGGCGATATGCTAGTACATAAATAAATTGAACATGAATCATCGGATACTAAAACCTTTATGTACCTAATTAAGTTTTTTTACTTTGATATATTGCTTAAGAATACCAAGTTTGACTTGAAATAGTGCATGCTAACCCGTACTGTGTAACGCTACTGCAAAAAATCAATAACAAAATGGATATTCCTATATTATGATCCATGTTCGGTAACTCTAGAATGAAAAACGTTCGATATACAAATCAGAATGGAATAGTTTTGACACTTGGGCAGTAGGCATAGACAGTAGACAGGGTGATACAGGGTGTTGTGAAATTGATACGAGTGCCGCTGACAGGGGTGAGAGGTGAAACATAGGGGTGTCACTTCGCGATCATGTAGGCACCAAGCAACATGAGCTTTTGTGACCTTTGCTACAAAAAGCGAGCACCTTATTTTTTGTTACAAATTGAACATAAAATAAGTTAATTAAATACTCAATATGACTTGATATGAAGAAGAAGGTTATGGTTATGGCTAGCTGGTACGCAGACTCATTTGTAAAATACTTACCTGCACTATAATAACGTTAATAAGGAGAAGTTAAGCTGGTCGCCTCCGATTGGCAAAACTGGAAGCCCATTCATCTACCTATATTTTTATTTCTTGAATGGCAACGAATTAACCTATGTTAAGCGGACGCTTTATAGCTGATATAATGATGAAAGTGATGACATTAAAATCATAAAAAAAATACAATTATTTTTACCGAATACTAGCCAGCTCAATATGCTCTATAGCTAAAAAATTACAGCTCGATTTTATGTAAGCATATTTGTTTAATGGAAACTATTTTTTACATCCTGTTTCCCGAACAATCCTCACCTAAAGCAGCTATGAGTGCGACAGGCGGACCCTGGAGTATTGAATCTTTAATGCATAACTTCGAAAATTTCATCAACATTCAAACGGCGAAGGAAATGTATCGAGTATCTTAATCAATGAGAAGGAGTGCAATATTTATTTATTGTTATTCGGAGGGGATTTATTGAATATTTTATTAGATCAAAATCATTCGTTGAGATTCGAACCCGTATATCTTGACGAACGAGTTAAGTCAGTGAACACTTCTACTGATACAAAACTTGTCTGACTAACGAGAAAACTACTATTTAGTTTTATAAATAATAAAAAAATAACTTCCGAAATAGTCTCTCTCTATAAATACTGAACTTTTGGACTGCACGGTTGGTGCGGTGGCTGGGCAACTGGCTGCCGTGTAACGTGTCGCGGGTTCGATTCCCGCACGGAACAACTCTTTGTGTGATCCACAAATTGTTGTTCCGGGTCTGGGTGTCATGTGTTTGTGAAATTGTATGTTTGTAACCGCACCCACGACACAGGAGAAAATCCTAATGTGGGGCAACGTTTTTAAAAATAAAAAAAATAAAAAAAATTAAAGAAAAACTAAAAAAACATTTTTAATATATGTATATGGTTAGAAGTCACTAAAAGTCATTTCTAATTCAAATCAAAATAAATCAAACTTTTTTGGGTGTGTTTGATAAAAATATAAAAAAAGCAAATCTATTTTCACAAAAAAATACATCAATATTTTTCAAACAGTCGCAGTTCTACGAAACTGTATTTGTATTTATTTGTTAAATCCGTTGGAAATTGGAGCAGTGTTCTATTTATAAAAATATAGGTAGATATTATTTCAACTAAACTAAAAAATTCACTAGTCAAAATGTATTTGTTTCAAACAACCTTAATAATAATACTTTTTGACTTCAAGTGACTTTGTATTGAAGTAAGTTTTAACATAAGGCTGAATCATACTCTAACTATCGATTTTCTACACCTAAGTCTAAAGGCATAGAAATATAGCGGGGTGAAAGCTCTAAGTCCCCTTCACTTTGGTATTTGATGACTCAGCGCAGGTATTAAAGGGCATTTATTACCTAACGCTCAACTTATCCATAACAATATCGAGTGCAACTTATATGAAGCTAAAGGGCCAGGTTTCCATGGCATTTAATGCGGACGTTAAATGATATTCACCAATATATTTAGAGCTATTTAAAAAATATTTTGAAAATATCTATTAGAAAAAAAATGACGCATCATCATCGGGAAATCCAGACAAAGCCAGACGAAGACGGCATTCGTGATTCCCTTCGATAGAGTCCTCATTGTACGCAGCGTTTACAGCATTGCGCGTGCGTTATCCTCCCTCTTGCGTCTCTTTCCAACTTGCCGCTGAGCGTGTGCCGTCTCTGTCACACCCGGGAGGGTCGATCTATACGACGCTAGGTACGGCTACAGTGCCGTACCACGACTAGTACGCAGGTTTCTGGCGTCTGGCACAAACGTCAGCTCTCGCCAGTCCGGTATAAGAACGCAACGCGGCCGCAGAAATGACGCGCGCCGTGCTTTTTATAAGTGTATTTACCATATTTTTGGACGTGCTCCATGCTGGACAGGTAAGATAAAGGCTTGAATGGAAGTTCTGGTTAGAATTGAATTGTACGCGTGTCACCGGCATCATGCCGAGGACACTAAGTCGAAAATCGATTGAATGTGTTCGGTAATGTTTTCAAGGCGGGTGTAAAATAGTGGATGACTGAAAGAAGCCCGTTCATGTAGACGCCGTAAAAGTTGTTTTCGTTAGCATTTTCTTACAGTTTTTCGATGGACGATTTATTTATTGGATTGCGTAACGTTTATTGGGTCTTAGATAAGCGTGTAGAACTTTGTTTTGCGTTTTTAAGGTCGTAAGTTTAAGCGTATAAATATAAAAATGTTTTCGCTGTTTTGTACGCCAATAGAGAGACATCATTATGTATTTGTTAATGCGGCAGTTCTTTGAATCAATGTCTGTCAACCTATGTTCGATATTTGTAGAATAGGCAGGCAGATAAATTTATATAATTATGCAATACCATGTCAATATCGATTAATTTGAAGCAAAATGAAAAGAAAATCCTCTTTATGATCGAAGGACGGTGTTTTAACAGTTTAATGCAGTGTAGAATAATAAACGGCAATAAAATCTTAGACATCATGACGGTTTGGACTTGCGGACGTCATAAAAATACTTTTATGAGTTTCTTTAGTCATTTCTCTTGAAATAGATTGAAAAGTGAATCACCTTTGCAGGAGTAAGTTGGTAAAACATAGTTAACACGACGCACCTTTAGAGCTATTAAACTGTTACCTAATTATTGGAAAATATTTAATATTTATTTTAATTATATTATACCTCTATAGGCGGCTATCTTTATAGGCCTTTTTTAAAGTTAATTGTAAATTAATAAAGCATAGCACATATCAATTTGATGATAAACTATTACTAATAATTATGGTCCTTAAACAAACAGACCTATATAATAAAACATATATAGGTACCATATAATCACAAGACACGTACATTAAATCATTATAATACATGTACATTAAATATCATTATATTTAAGTTAGGTAGATTAAAAACACTTTTAAATCATCGATAGCAAAAAACTGTTTTTTTTTTATAATATAATTACTTTCTCATTTCTTAAATGGCTTATAGTACAATATCACAGAAAAAAAACACGCTACAGAATAAGATAAAAATCTAAGATCTTATCTGATTCGAACATTAAAAATGCATGTAGCGTTCCTTCTGCACTTGTGCTAATTAAAGCGCATTCGGCGCTGCACGTTAAGACATTACATTATGTATGCATTTAATACATTAGCTGTTCAGCGGTTGATTAATTGCTTGAAAGCTATATGGTCAATAAAACGAAATAGGACAGAAATAAAGGACAATCAGACTTGGATCTACGGTTTACGATCGGCCCCCGTCGGCTTTTTTAATGTGCCTTTCATATAAAATGTATAGGTGAACATTATAGACGAATTAAGTACTAAGTAACTACCGATTTAACCCTTAATTCGACGTTGTGCAGTATACTTCACATTGAATAAAAAAAAAATTACTTCAAAAATTAGACCGTGTATCCAGACCCAACATACTATAATTGCATCCAGAACTATTTACCTACGTAGTCAAAAATCAACAACGCGTTCACATCGACGAAACGCGACCAGTCGCCGGCGAGATGGCGGGGAGGAAGGACTCGCTGCGCGGGCTTTCAGTAAGTTACGTTGTATTTATTTTTTAACGGTTTATTTTCTCATAATATCATTGAAAACTAAAGATAACATATATTGGAATCTACTCATAATATTTTGATTATGTTACTTAGTTTTATTTAGTTTTTACAACGCCAACAACTTGTATGTCTAGTATACTTCCCGTCATCGAAGTACTAGTAAAGTAACTGCAAAATCGTATGTCCAGTATTCTTCCCTTCGTCAAATTAGTAGAAAACGAAATACAAAATCGTATGTCTAGTATTCTTCCCATTGCCGTGTTATTAGACACGTAAGCACTGTTGTATCTCGAAAATATATTTTTAGGGATCAGTAGATAAAATGTCTTACACCTTATTACTTTTTGTTTTTCAGAGCTTCAAGTCAAGAGGACATCGTTTAGTAGGATTGGTCCCACCTGAAAATGCACCATCAGATATAAACAGTAGGTCTGAACCTGAAAACGAAGAGGAAATCGCTGTTTATAGAACTGAAGAGTTATCCTCCTCACCCTGCCCTTCCATTGATTCAGACATAGAACGCATGCATATCTTAGACAGCTCCCATACGTCAGAGGACCATATTAGCGTTAATGGCAGTGAGAACAATCCTGTGTCAGAATTTGAAGACAACTTGAACCAAGCGCAACCTCCGTTGACTCCTATTATTAACAACGTGCTACCACCGACTGGTGAAGTAAATTTTAATGCTTTACCAAGTTTGGCCTCATTACTTTCAATTCCATCATCAGCTGCTTCGTCCATTGCTAGTCCATCAATTCGAATCCGAATTCAGATACAGCAAAGTGGCTGACGTTATGCCATTGAAACGATTCGAGCAGATTCGACGCAACTTGCACTTTGTGGACAACGTCAACTCAGATGAGGACAGATATTACAAGATACGACCCTTCATTGAAAAAATAAGAAGAAACTGCGTTGCAACGGAAGAAGACATGAATTACAGCATAGATGAGATGACTATACCATATAAAGGTACTAAAGCAGGAAATCGGAGACAGTATAACCCCATGAAACCTGATAAATGGGGTTTCAAGAACGTAGTACGCGCTGGTGCGTCTGGAATCGTCTATGACTTTTTATTGTACAGCGGCGATGACACTTTTCGCTATATCGCTTTTACCGATGAGGAAGAGCAAATGACATTGGGTGCTAAAATGGTGTTAGCCCTTAGTAAAACAATTCAAACTCCAGGATGTGCTGTTTATTTCGATAATTATTTCACAACGCTCGACCTGATTTGGTATCTACGTGAACACAGGGGGATTTTCAGTCTCGGAACTATACGGCAAAACAGACTGAAAGGTTGCAAGGGTCTCCTAAGTGACAAAGAACTGAAAAAAAGAGGCAGAGGTTCATTTAGCCAAGTCGTAGACAACGACAAAAAGATCGCCATTGTAAAATGGTACGACAATAAAGTTGTGACTTTGGCCTGTTCTTATGCAGATGCTTACCCAGTTCATGAAATCAAAAGATGGAGTACAGAACAGAAACAGAAAATTGGTGTCACATGTCCGCAGTTAGTACGACACTACAACCAACATATGGGAGGTGTTGACCTGTGCGATATGTTGATAGCTTTGTACAGAACATCTTTTAAAAGCCGTCGTTGGTACATGAACATCTTTGGCCAAATGTTAGATATAGCGGTTAACAATGCCTGGCTACTCTACAGGCGAAATTGTAATATGAAAAGCCTGAAAAACATGAGTCTAAAAAAGTTTAGACAAAAGTTGGCAGTCGAATTGAGGCAAATGGGAAGATCAAATGAAACAGACGCACTAAGCCCTGTACCGAAGAAAACACTAATTCAAAACCCAAGTGCACCGAGGCCCCCAGAGTCTGTGCGTTATGATGGCATCAACCACTGGCCTGAATATACGACATATGGACGTTGTAAGTTTTGTAAGAACAACAAAACGAACATGCATTGTTCTAAATGCAAGCAGAGATTGTGCCTAGTGACCAAAAGAAATTGCTTTTATAATTTCCACAAAAAGTAGGTGGGTAGACGAGTGCCCAAACATTTATCTCGACTGATATTTTTTATACTTTAAGAACTAATAGACTGATTATTTTTGAATAAGATAATTGTTAATTATTATAAGAAGAATTTTAAAGACATTTTATATTATGTTCAAAACATATGTGATTTTTTTCGTTTCTATAAGGTTTCAGAGTTCCTATTAATGTTTTAATCATAAGACATGTAACAATAAGACTAATTTTTTTAAATATAACGAATATTTTCCTACGGAATCACTATTTTTTTTTATTCTATCTCTTTGATAATGGGAAGTATACTGCACACAGTTAGAGTATATCTGTTTCTTATGAACTTGATGATGTCCATTATAGTGGACGTCGATTTTTCAGGAAACTGAAGTCGGTAATTTTTTTCAGATATTTTTTCTACGATCCCGTACAAGCTAAGAAACAAAATTTGTAACAATTTCATTAATTTAATAAAAAAAAAATTCTGTCGAATTAAGGGTTAAGTTCAGTTAGGTATGTACGAGTATCTATCTATTTATATTCTGCAACACGATATAATGAAAGAAAATACTATATAAATGCTGATTTAAAAATTCTGACAGACACGTAAGGTAATAAAATTTCTGCTTGAATATTCTAGAATTTTATTACGCTGAGTAATGGATTTTCTGTATAATAAAGAAGATTCTTAGGATTGCGTTAGAGCTATATTATACTAAGACTATTTGCAGTAAGACTAGTTGGGTCTTTCTGCCATTGACTTCTGACGATAATGATTTTTTTCGCATGGCAACTCGAAAAAAGAAACTTTTCTCAAAACAAAGTAATAAATTATAAGACTTTATAATGAAATTCGTATAAACTGTTGAAATTTATTTGCTGAACTGAAGTCTACGTTAGAACTTTAAGTAATGCGAACAAAAGCAACTTGTCTGGCTTCTTATTTTGTTCCTAAGTAGACTTATAAAATCAATTAAAGTACAAAGGGGCATTCAACTTTAGTAGCACTATAAGGGTGTGTCTGGGATGGGTGGTACCTACATCATGATTCCATGCGTTTTATATTACAACCTTTTTTTATTTGTTTTTAATTTCTATTATTAGACTTTGAGATTGACGAAGTATCCAATAAGAATAAAAACATAAAAATATTCAAACCTCTTTTTTCAATCTATTGAAAATACGAATCGAATCGAAAAGGGATATTGGCGTACAGATTTTTATAACATCATCAATATTGAACGTAGGTTTAGAACCAAAAAAAATTGCGTTTGAATATTAGAATTTTGCTCGGAAAAAAGATTTTTATTCCGGCGGTGTTGCGTCAT